TTGGCCGCCACTTCCATCGACAGCTTTGTGAAATAAGTGATCGAAGCTGTCGGATCGGTGTAGTGGAATATGGCTCGTATTTCTTGAAGAGGATGCCATTGTAGTTTGGACTGGGTCTCTGGGAGAGAGAGAGAGAGAGAGGGAGGGAGGTTTTCTTCCGCATTTGCACAGAAGAATCGATCCGGTGCAGTATTTATAGGAGGATTTTTCGAAGTTCTTAGGGGATGGCGCCTTAAGAAAAAGAAAATTATAGGGAATATTTTTATGATGTAAGTGTAGTTAAGCGTGATTAGAAATTAGTCGAGTCCAACTTGAGTCAACTCTAATTTAAGTTTGAGTTAAATTTTATTAATTAATCGAGCTTTATTCTACGAGTTCGAGCCGGCTCCAAGCTCACGAGCTAGCTTGTTTATTATAAAAGAGAGTAATGATTATGATTTATGTAATTATTCTAATAAAATGATAGAAAGAAATGACAAATTATAAAAAATAATAAAGAATCACTTAATATAAGAAAGTAATATAAATTTAAATATTTTTGAAATAACTTTTCACTTAAAATTTTGAATTCTAATATAATTTAAGTATATTTTATATTAATATTTTTTAAACAAGTCAGTTCGTGAGTTATATATACAGTCATTTCAGTTTTTTTTAGACAATGTTTTTACTATTTTTTTTTTCAGTCAACAACAACAAATTTTGTTTGGCTACTAATTTCACTATTTTTTAAATTTTTTTGTTAGAAAGCTATGTTTTAAAATAACTTTAAACAAAAATTAGTTTGCTTGCAACAACTTCACAATCATTTTTATAAAAAGTGATACCGCCCCAAACATACTCGTAGTATTCAAATTTTACATAAAGAGAAATCTAATTAAATTCTCTTAGAGTAGGCCTCATAATTGTGTTTAGGGATGTCAAAAAATGACGTGACCCAAAAAATCTAAATTTGGGTCGACCCATGTAATAAATGGGTCGAGTTCTTATTCGGAATTCCAACTCATTTAATAAACAGATCAAGTTCAGGTTAACCCTCCAATCCGATTTTGACACGAAATGACAAGTTTAAATTAGTTTTTCCTTAATTTTTTTTATTGTACGATTATCTTATTTTTCATCAATTAATCTAAAATCTATTATTAAAAAATATAATATTAAAAAAAAAATCAAAATCAGTTATCGGGCCATATTCGGGTCATTTGTGTTGCTAGCAAGTCAAGTTCTAGTCCGCATTTTTTACTCGTTCGTTAACGAATCGTATTCATGTTGGACTCGAATCTGACACAATGTTCCTTTTTAACACCCCTAGTTGTCCTTTGAGGGAAGTAATATTTGCATCTTCTTTATTTTCCCTCAATAGCTATTACAATAGTCTTAACATCTAAAGAAAATTTGTATAATCTTTATTAGGAATTATTTGTGTCAATCCTCTATGCCAACCTCTTGAAGGATATCAAAACTCTTTTTCTATGTAGTATTAAATTTTTTCTCAAGCATTCTATGTGAAATATCATCAAAAGTAGAATGACTAAGGCTTCATTTGGGACAGTTTCCTAACTGTTTTCTAAAATAATTTTTTAGTACAAAAAATTTGAGCTCAAAAAATTTTGTACTAAAAATACTGCTTAAAAAAGCAGGAAGAAAGCTGTCCCAAATGAAATCTAAGATTTTATTTCGGACAATTTTAGACTACTAATTTTCTCTATTTTTAAGAGATTTTTATATTAAAAATAATTTTACAAAGCAATGAAAAAATCATCTTAGATAAAGCCTAAATTGATTTTAATTATTGGCAGAAAAATTAGAAAGAGGTAATTCTATTGGGATGAAACCATCCGCTAGGCGCTATAGTATATTCATCCAAGTGGGGAATTGGCGAGATTAAACTCACCGCAATTGTCCCATCTCATTATCAACTTGATCTAAAAGCTTGCTCACAATAAAATGCATTATAACATGATAAAAAAGACCTAAAGATGCATTACCTTTCTCACCTCTTTTCTCAATGATAAATTATTCTTTGTTATCTACTCCTCCTTTACTCACTAATTCTTGGATAACTTGTCCTAGAGGAAATTTATGGGAAGTCATTAACTCATTTTCTTATTCATCTTCGCTTCCTTTGGGACAGCTTTCTTAAAACAGCTTTTTAATACAAAAAAAAATTATAATCAACAATGAAAGTACTGGACTCACCTGATTTTATCGCCACCTTCTTAAGTAGCAGCTTCTTAACTAAATGGTGGGATTACGGGTGAAAACAAGTCGAGTCAAGCTCAAGTCAGGCCTAAATCAAGCTTAACTCAGGAGCCAAATCTCGAGCTCGAACTCGAGTTGAGCTTAGAAGGAGAGTTCGAGTTCGGCTCGTGCCATTGAATTGAATCAAGTTTTGTCGCGTCCTCTTCCCCTTCTGAGCTATGTCCCGCGTCCGAAGTTCGAACTCTGTCCACGCAAGCCGACGTTTGACCGTCGTCCCGCATCTGAAGTCCGAACTCCGTCCGCACACGCCCTCGTACGAACTTCGTCCTGCGTCTGAACTCCATTCGAAATTTCACATTCGCTGATATTTAGCGTTCCCGCCTTCCCAAATCCTACCCGACATTTCACATTCCAGCCAGGCATCCAAGCCGGCTCGTGAGTAATCAAGCCAGGCTTTGGTTGAATCAAACTCATGTCGGTTATACAACGAGCTCAACATTCTGCTCGAACTCAAGTCATTAACCAGTCGAGCCGAGCTGGCTCACTATTTGGCTAGAATCGGTTGAACTCCTAGGTGCGATCTTCAAATGATTGCTTCATGTCCTTATTTATAATTTTGTTATGATTTTAACATATCCAACAAATTAAATCAATATCCTTAATGATGTGAAAGCTCACTAGCATAATATGGTTACTTCTCTTATTCTTTTTTTTATTAAATATTCTCTAAAGATACAATGAATATGCCAATTAAGACTTCTTATTCCAAGCCTAAACATTCAAGTATTTCTTCAAAGCAATTCACTCTAACTTTCTAAGACAACCAACTTGCCTAAGCACCCAAGCTACTACCAATACTTGATGGATTTAGCCTTGAATCACTTGCACTATACATTCAACCTAATAAAAAACTATAGCTTAAAAAGAGTCACTAGAGAAGTCTCTTTGATTTCCAAGCCAAAGAATTTAAATTTGTAGGTAAGAAGACAGAAATCTTCATAATTTTTTGATTAAACAAAGGATGAAATCCACTTAAAGTAGCTTTACTTAAAAGGAGATTGCTAATGTTACTTTAAATTTGACATATCAGAAGATGTGAATTTAGCCATTTATCCTTAGAAAAATGTGCTAAACAGATCTGAGGTTATGGATCATTTCACAACAGTTCCAAGATACATTATGAACTTCATATTATTGATATCCAAGATCAATAATATGAGAAGATGAGCGCTTCATTGAGTTTCTTGCTCTTGCTTCATCATGATGATCACATGACTATCATTATTACTACATGGAAGAAGAAGAAAAAGAAAGTGTGAATTCTCTAATGAAAAAGATAGATTTATATGGATAACACTTATAATTATTTTTTGTTAATATAAATTTACTATTTACTTTAAATAATAATAAAAAAATCACTTGCTCTAACTACCGTAAATATTTTTGATCCCATCCTTAAAACTCTAGATAATTAAGAAGTGTGGAACCGCGGTTTCGTCCCGAACAGGTTTCTCCTCCCATGCGTAGGATCAACCCAACACAAAGATTGTTTGATGAATATGATCCTATTAAAGTAATTATAGTTCATGAATATTCTTTTGGGAATATACTAGAAATAAACAATGATTTGTATTTATGATATGAATCTATAATTAATAATTTTGAATTTGAATTTGCACATATATTAAAGCATGTTCATGAACCGAAATTTATATTTAAACAATAGTGCAACTTGATTTTAAAAATTGAGCTATATTATACTTGAATCAAATTTCCAATGGACATTGAAACTATGCTTGTCTGTGAAATAGAACAAATCATGAAAAGTTAATTTGATGAGTAAAATGAGTGCTTTAAAAATATAACTTCTAAAGAATTATCTAATGTTATTATTCATGATTAAATTGATATTAACAACAGGAGGGTAGTTAAATAAGCAATATAAGAATATAACTGGTATTATTTTATGAGAATAATTCAAGGGAAGTTAGGAAATTTTAGCATCAATTACTTGAATTGTTCTCTCTTTCCATTTCCTCATTAAGGCTTCGTTTGGGATGACTTTCTTACTGCTACTTAAAGCAGCTTTCTAGTACAAAAATTTTAATTTTGTACTAGAAAGCTGCTTTAAGAAGCAGTAAGAAAACAGCCTCAAATGAAGCCTAATCCTCATTCAACATGTTGTCAAACAATCGGATACAACTTGTCCCTAAATCTATTCTAAATGATGAGATTGTTCACCATAAATGTTGGATTATAAAAATATCATCTGTACTTCCATGACAAACCTATTTGTGAGGACTCAAACATTACTTTGCCAAAAGCACAAAAGATAGCCCTGATCTGCTTAATTAATACCAAATACTAAATCTTGCTAGAATTGAATTTGTCCAAGTCGGATGGATCTGATGGAGAGTCTCACTGGTGGATGAGATTCTCAGGGTTGAGTTTCATTGCATTATTATAACTGCATTAGAAAATCATTATAACCTTTCTTAACATAAGCCAAATCTAATATATCCACTTTTCTAACTAGGTCATCGGAAGGCTGCCATATTGTGTGACCAAACCATCTAAGACCACTCTCCCTAATCATATCTTTCATTAGAGCTACTCCAACCTTTTCACATAAATGCTCATTTCATATCCTGTCTCTAAGACTAAAGCCACTCATCCACCTGAGCATCCTCATTCCAACAACGCTTAACTTAATATTATGCTTCTCTTCTAAAAAAACCAAGAAATAGAAATACATCAAATATTAATAGGAAAGGTATAGTAGCATTTTGAACAAGATAAAAGCAACAAAATAGTTTTTCAGTAATCTAAGCCAATGCCTCATGTTGATCGGATAATGTAGCCTTATACATGAAAAAGAATAAAAAAATACCATCTTAATCATTAATAAACTTACAAGAGCTAGGATTTGAGCAAAACCTCTGATCAAGTAAAAGTTTGTGGTCATCCAAACCTGTTTAAAGACTCCTCTTTTTTAGTTGCAAGTTCCTTTCAAGTTTATCTGCTGATAATTCATCAGATTCCTCAGAAATTTTTATTCTCAGCAACAAAATGTGATACTATCTTAATCTGTATCATTTCTTCACTAATAAATTATCTCATCTAGAAGTGGCAATGTGGAATTGATGCTATGTCTTCTCATCAAGCTCTACTCCAAGAAATCCAAAAGAGTGCCATAAATCTGATAATGATATAAATGTGAAAAAAGTGCAAAGAAGTCACATTAAGAAGAATCGCTTTGAAGGCCATAGATATTCCCTACAACTCCTACAATGCTAACTATTAGTGCCCAAGATAACATGATCCATAACAATAATCTCTCTCCACGAGTCAAATTCACACCTTGTTTGTCTAGCCTCAATGCAATCAAACAGGGAAATATGAATCCCAAGGACAGCCCAGTGGTGGCACCTGTAAACTTGAAGGCAACCCAGATATTAGGGACCATAGTAGAACCAAGATAAATAATCCCCAACAATGCTGTAGTCAAAGCCAACTTCTTCACCCTACCTTGAGGCAGTGGTTCTTTAAACAGCAAAACACTCACCGTTTGCCGAAGCGAAAAATGGATCACAGGAAACACAAGAACAAGATGAAGAACATACCCAATTCTTATGACATAGTTCAGTATCGAACTGAATTGAATCCCTAGATCTTTGTCGAAATTGGTGAGCACATCTGATTCCGTGTCAGCTCCGAACAATAGATACCCAGAAACCGCAGTAGAGAAATATACTAGCACACACAAAAGTGTTGTGATCCTCCCAACCTTATCCATCTTCTGAGGAGATCTTCCCTTCAGCTCATTGTAGATGGGCTGAACATTAAAATGGCAAATATATGCATTTGTCATGATGGGAATAACAACTAGCAAATCAAGGATAGCAGCTTTGCTTGCAAAATCAGGCCCCATCCTTGGTTTTGCAATCCTTCCCTCCACAAGCTTCACAAAGGCAATTGCACAAGAGACTACAACAAAAACAATGGCAAGAGCAACAGAAGCAGCTGATGTAAAGCTTAACGAATCAATCTTCTCCAATGCACATAAAGGAGCCAAAAAAAGAACCACCATGGCAAGAATCACTAGCTTTCTTAGATCCCATATTCCATGACCAAACAATTGGTCAAAAACGCCGACATGATCTGGTGAACCTGACATCACATCTCCAATGATAATCAAATAAACCACTAGTATACCAGCATTGTTAATAATTATGCAGATTTCTGATAATATCCTCATTGGGAAACCAAGGGCAGATTGTACTACTTCACCATAGGAAGCAGATTTGCTGAGGTTAGAAAACCGAACAAGAAGTTCAATGCTAATTTCTGATAGAACTCCCATCACAACTATAGCGATGAAACCAAGTACAAGGCCAAGAACCTTCATGGTGGCGGGGAGGGCCATGATCCCGGCGCCAATAATAGAGGTAGCAAGGTTGAAAACTGCGCCAGGGATGCCTGAGCCAGCATCACTGCTAGCCATGAGCTTAGCACCATCGACAATGAGGGGAAGATCATCGAGTTCATCAAAATCTTCTTCTTCAAATCTTTCCTTCAGCGTACCATTATGATTAGGGCTTTCATTCTCAATGCCATTGTCAAGGTGCTGAAGTTCTATGGAGGAGCTTTTGGAGATGACAGTGTAATTGCTGTTCATTTTAGGCCTTCAAGGATTTTAGAAGGAGAACCGAAAAGAAGCGGAGATGAGCCAATATGGGCAATGATCAAAATCTGATTTTTAAGTATGATCTCTCAGGTTTGGAAGAAGAAATCAAGCTAATACAGGGGTTTTCAGATCTGAAAACAAGATCAATAGAAACATGTTGATAAAAATTTGATATTTGATTGAGGATTGGATTTTTCCTCTCGACTGAAGAAAAATATCAGATTTGAAGTCAACCAACGAAAATCAGGTATGTAGAATAAGATCGTGGACCTACAGCGCATGTGATTAAATAAGCATAGATTACCTTTGGAATTCGTTCGAAGAAGAACTAAAAATAGAAATTAGTAAAATGAAGAACACGGCATTGATTACCTGATTATGGGAAAGAAACGAAAATGCGAAGCTAAAAAATTTGAGTTTTCTCTGATCTGAAAATCCTCAACCTGCAAGATAGAAGACGTTGAAATCAGATCAGGTTCGCCAATAAGGAGAAGGGTGAGCGAAGTCTACAATCTGGAGAAATTTCTACTGGATTTCGTTGGGCTGTTTGACTGCAAATAGGATTTAGTAAAATCCTACGGATTTTAATAAATTCTACAAGTTAAATTTTGAAAATCATATGGTACGACAGATATAAAATTTAATTATATAATTTTTATATTTATTTTAGAATTTAAATATTTTTATGATCATTAAATTTTATTATATCTAGTTGACCGAAATAATCGTAATTAGATTGATTAAATAATCATAATTCATAATTAAATAAAATAATATCTCAATTAATTATTAATTTAGTAAGCTGATTAGCATAATTAATCTTATTTAATCAAATTTAATTATAAAAAAAATTAATATATCTAAATTAATATTTTATAATTAATTAATATATGTTGTTAAAGTTGATTTAAAATTTTAATTAATGTATCTATATCTTATTTTGTATTGAATGGTAATATATTTAATTGAGATTTTTATCCATCATACGAAAATTAATTAAACCATAACTAGTGTAAGATAATGTCCTAATTAATCATTAGCTAGTATATTTTAAGGCTAATTAAACACAATAACTTTATTTTATTAATAAAAAAGCTTTATTTAATCAAATCAAATTATTAAGATTTTAAATCAAAATAATATCATCAGATTAAGAGTTTATTTAAAATGGATGTAACTTATTGTAAAGATCATTGGAAAGTTATTATAAAAATAATAATTTTTTAAAAGTGGTTCTAAAAATAAACTATTCAATATAAAAATTTCTATAATTTAATATATTTTTATTTACAAAATGCTATTTATTAAATAATAAAATATATCATCGAAAAGATTGCTTTTCATTATTTTGAATTAAAAGTAAAAAAAAAAAAAATCAAATTTAAGGCCTCGTATAACCAAAATATTCTGATTTAATTTTTATGTTATTATATTTTTATCATATTCAGTTTGTTAATTAATGAATGAGATAAGCATGAGTTGCTTAATAAGTTGAACATGAGCTATTTACAAACACCTAGTTGAATTGTCGCCGCTAACCTCACGTCAATCATGTTTAATTTAATTTTATATCATTACAATTTTAAATATTATTTATATATTTATATCATCTTAATTTATTAACTTTAATAAGAATATATTATATAATATTAATCTAAAAAAATATTTTAATAACACTTGGTGAGCTTTTCTCCACATAAAAATCTCAAGTAAATATTATAAGCTTCAAAATATTGAGAATTTTTTCTTGTTTTTGTTTTTTCAACAAAATATTCTATCATTTATAAATTTCTAGTGCTTCCTAACTCAGTATTTTAAAACAGGACGGATCTAATACAGCAAATTCTTTCATCAATTTTGTTATCATTTTCTTTAATTTTTTTTTAAACAAAAAAGATCTTTATGCAGATAGCAAGATCTTATAGTTACCAGCTTATGAACTACTAATGTAATGTAGTTGCCAGAACATATCGCCACCTGAGTTTCTCTTATCCACAAATCTCTTAATCAAGTCACAAAATGAGCAGAATCTTCTGTAACCATCATCATCTGCGCAACTTTAGAGAGATCTTCTCCAGATGCAGCCGAGGCATCTTCGGTAACCTCATTGCAATGGATGGTATGCCACAATGGTCTTTCTTGTTGGAACATTCTGCAACATTAAACAACATTTAGTCATCGGAAACTATGATGCACCGATCAGGATATAAGAACATGTAGACGATATGACATCAGGGCGGATCCAATATAAGCCCTGCCCCCCACCCCCCACAAAAAAAAAAAAAAAATTATTATATGATTCTTTAGATAATTTATCCCCCTCCATCTATTTTTTAGTTTTTAGGCAATTGCACCCCCTAATAATTTTAAAATATGGTATTTAGAAAATTGCCCCAATAGGTCGAACCCCACAAGGGGGTGCTGCTAGGGGTGTCAATTACGGGTCATGGGTCGGGTTTGAGATGAATCCGAAACTGACCTGATACTATTCGGGTCAACCAGAACCCGACTCATTTTTGCAAACAAGTTGGTTTTCCGGACCCAAACCCGACCCGTTTCGGGTCGAGATCAACCCTACCCGACCCGAATGAAACGAGACGGATAAAAAAACTGCTAGTTTTCGGGTCCAAAAATGGGTTAATCTCTGCTTTTCGATTAAAAAACGGGTCAATCTCGGATTGTCGTGTCAAAAGCGGATTTTGGGCAACCCGAACCCGACCAAATTTTTGAAACGGTTTGAATTATTGAACCCAAATATGATTCGTTTCAGGTTCGGGTAAACCCAAACTCGAAATTTTTGGGTCGGATTTTCGGGTCGGGTCCAATATTGACACCCCTAGGCACTGCCCTCTTAGACCCAGACACATCTGCGAAGCGTACAACAATCAAGGATATGAACAAATAGGAGTCGAGGGGCAGTGCTCCCAGAACAAAATTTTGGTTGTAAAGATATTTATGGAAAAAAAATCTCTACACTTTTACTTATAAGTCCCCCCGCGCGTTAAAATTAAAGCTGATTCCGCCCCTGTACGACATAGATGAATGAAGATTGAAAGAGAGTGGATGAAGGTTCTCACGGGTGCTTGCAGAGCATCGGACATTGTACAGTAATGGCGTACTTGCAGGTAGAGATCTCCTTGATGGAACTGATTACGACGGATGGTTCTGAGCATATAAACCTGATCTCGGTTTCTCGAGGCTGATTCGTTAGATCACAAATGGTTCCATTTGTGTAAAGATGAGCATGGTACCTGAAATTTGAGAACAAAGTTAGTAAAGTTCGTTTAATTGAATTGCTGAATGAGAAAGATTGAGCAGAAGGAATGAAATTTACCTCTGGGAAGCATCTTTTGAGCGAGGATCTTTTAGCAGGGTAGGATCTGACTGGTTTTGATTGAAATCAGCAGTTGCCACTGGATCAAAAATGCCCATAAAGAACTCCTGAGTGGGCTGTAACCAAAAAAAAAAAAAAAAAGCAAGCAATGGATCTAAATATTTAGTAATTGCAAGCAGCTTAACACGCAATGATAAGAGATGTAAATCTTTTCTTTTCTTTTCTTGTGAGAATTAGTATCGTTTGAGCATCAAATTTCCTTCAGTAGAAACAAAAGAATTTGATTAAAAGTGGGACTTCAATTAGAAAAGGAGTCTGAAAGCAGAGATAGATCTGTAGCTATTATGTAAGTTCTGCTTGACAAATTAGAATAAAAAATATGAACTCCAGACTAAAATCCTATAAAGATTTTAACGTCCTACAAATCTATCATGTTGCTTCACTAAGGGTGGAACAAATACATCTACATGAGACTTTAAACTTAACAACGAAAACACACTCATAATATTATGTCTAAACTCAAAAAAAAAAAAAATAAAAACTTATTCATAAAAGTAATTTAAATGAATAATTACACAAAAAAAACACAATAATGAACTAGGAAAGCAAAATAGAGTGCGGTATTTGCTTTGTTACGTCTTGCCATGTAAATAGTGCAAAAGATGCGCTATGTTATTCGCTATGGTGCGTTATATTTTACACTATTAACAAGTATTTTATTAAATGTTAAATTTATCATAGCCGAATTTTTTCAAGCCAGTCACATTGGATGAAATTCTATATTTTTATTCATGTTTAGATGTCGCATCAAGCAAATGATTGATGCACATTCTATTTGTTTTTTATGTCAGTTTTTTTATTTTGTTATTTCTATAAGTAAGAACATGTCAATCATGATGGACGAGAAAGAGTTGTATTCTATGATGCACGGACACGACGACACGAACACGACTGGACACCGACACGGGACAACTTTTTTTGAAAATATAGGACACAAGTATGGCGTGGACACGACATTACAATTTTTTTTATATAGTGCTAGAAATTAATGTAACATCATATTATAAATGAAAAAACAATATTAAATCTTGTGTAGATGTGCTTTTACCATAGAATATAATCTTTTGTATATGACATCATAGTAATTGCATTTGAATGACACATTTCCTCCACCCTCAAAAGTTTTTCTAACTTTGTAACACGATTTCATAAGGGCTTATTGGCTTCTATAGAAGACTCTGTTAAACCTTCACCATTTCCCTAGAGCTCATTTTGCTTTTCAAAAAATGATGGAATGGAAGATAAAAGTCTTAGCATTAGACAATCATACACACTTTTGCTTAGGCTAAAACTCCATGATGAAGCTTACATTATTTCAACTTATTTAGAGGTGTAGCAAAATCTAAAATATTTAAAAAACGGCAATAATGTTACAAATTTCTCGACGATTATATATACTTCTTATTTTGACGCTAATGAATCTATGATAAGTCTTTTTGGCTTCATTTAGTATAGCTGTGTTGATGTAATACTTCATTTTAATATGAAATAAAGTAGTAACCACTGTCATAGAGATTGGTAACTAAATTTGTTGCAAGTGTTACCCATGGTTGTGAAGCCATTGAGTACGTGTAGAATAGTGTATTCCATCATACATACTCGCAAATATCAAAATTATATGTCAGGTTTTCAATATCAGAGCAGGTGAAAAAGTTTTAACTAATCTGGTGCGCAGAACTTTTCCAAATGGAACTTTGTATTGGAATCAATTTATAAAGGGATTATGAGGATAACCTTATTATCTTCCAAATGGAGCTGTCTGACATGTTTCTGATAGCAGAATTCGTAAGACCACCACCCTTCATGCTGAAAAATAATTACCAATGGCAACCATTCTAAAACATGCATCATAGACCCGGCCCATATAGCTTTTAAGAAGTACTTACCCTGTAGAAGCACTTGTCTTTTATGGCATCAATTAGTTCATTCGGTGTCTTCTGTGTTATCCTTCGATCGGTATCTAAAATAATGCTGGTTGAATTTGGATGAACAATTGGTTTGGCAGGTTTGATTTCATCAACCATGGGCAAGAAACAAACATAATTCTGTCCCTGCTTATTAGTCATGACCACAGATTCCAGTTCGTTATCCTGTAAAAAATTTAAATAAACCTCCATCATTTGACATAAATATTTGTTAAGTTCTGTTGAAATAATCTTGAATCCGTATAGTAATCCATTTCTGTTATGTAGCTAATTGTAGATTCCAAATTTAAAAACTAATTTTCAGATACTTTTTTTAGTAGTTATTTCTCTACTAGTTATGAACAACTTATCATCTTATTTTTTTACACAAAATAAAAGCATAAAATTTAGCAATACAATTTCTCATTTCTACTCTCTGTACTTTTCATTTTAATCTTCAAGATGGCATCAAAGATATCAAAATTCTGGAATGGAAAACTCAAATTCAGAACATGGAAAATCAATAAAAAATAGTGGGATGGAAAGCTCCAAAGAGAACCAGAAATAAAGACAAACCGCAATAGCTTTCTCCTTTCTCTTTCAATTATCTGGATAGCATGCCGAAGACATCCAACTACTGCAGTAAGAACTTATTCCACAGCATCGCCAAAATAAGCTTGGTTGCTCAAAAGAAAAACTACTATTTCAATAGTAGACTAAGAAGCTTCAAATAATACGATAGGAAACAAAAATGTCTTCCATAATTAAAGCATATATCATGAAAATTATAATGTATAGACTACAAATGGATCACTATCAAAAGCGGCCGGAATGATTATGTCATTCTCTCAAAAGAAATAACACGCGACTCTGTGCTTCTAATGTTTAATCCAGATTGCAAAATATTATCAATCATCAAACACACTCGAGATAAATTTGAGTTGTTAATTTCTTATCCAATCTTTGTAACTTTTTAGATTGAACTTGGGTAGCATTATAGACAGTGCAAGGACAAGTTTGGGACTCTACCTTCTAAAGAATAACTCATGTAAAGTATAGGTTCACATAATAGGTTGTGTATCTACCAAAACCCCAACTTCAAATTTTATATACACTTAGCCGAGAACACCCAAATTAGCATAAAAATTAATTCCTTCTTTACTCACCAAGAAAATTCAAAGGACATTTAGTGTGAAAATTTTCATTTGGCTAAACGCACTCATACTTTTTATCCTGTTCAAACCTACACATATTTCCAACATTTTCCTTTAGTCCATAGTGATGTGTGGAGGCCATCTAAAGTCAAAAATATCTTTGAACTTATGTTTATTTCCTTCATCGATGATCATGCCTATCCCACTCGAGTTTTCGTAATGAAAGAAAATTTTAAAGCTGTGCAAATTTATAAACTTTCAATAAAATTATCCATACTCAATTTAATTTCAAAATCCAAGTCCAAAAAATTGACAATGCCAAAGAGTACTTTGAATTGGTCTTTGAAAATCACCTCCTACATCAAGAGATTATTCACTAAAATTCCTGTGTCAAAACCCCTCAACAAAATAGGCTTGTGAAAAAAAAAAAAAAAAACCACTCAGAAATAGCTAGATCAACAACATTCACCATAAATATTCCTAAGTATCTTTAGGGAGAATTATTTCCTAATAACGCTTCCCATTAATAGAATGCTCAAGGGTGTTTAAATTTCAAACCCTTCTCTACTCATTTCCCAAGATTAAAATTATTTGTTCTTTACCTCCAGAAATCTTTGGATACTTAATCCACCATCATCTCTTATTAAACCCATGAACAATGAGCATTTCTAGTTGCCCCTTATTCAACTACTAAAGTCCCACCTAAACCACCCTCACTACCTTGTCAATACAACCGAACTATGGACAATGAGCTTCATGGTTATATTGAGAGGAAAAAGAAAAATCAAGAAGGGGAGTAATCAACATGTATCCAACACACTCAAGAACTCAAACCTGGTTTGTGGACCAATGAAATACAAATTGGTGAGAATACATTCATAGATGATAACATTGATCTGTATTGTCCTATTTTTTATGAAAAAGAACGAGATCATGCTCCAAACACAATTAATAAAATACAAGTTCCAAACAAAATTCATGTAGCTCTAAAAAATACAAGTGGAAGGAAATTAATGGAAAATCTAGGCCTTATTAAAGAATGGCGCTTCAAAAGTTTTTAAACTTACGCTAGGAAAAAATCGATTGGATGTAAATGAATCTTGATAAACAAATATAAAGTAGATGGGAGCACATATAAATTTAAAGCTCAACTCATTGTGAAATGGTATGCCCAATCATATGCATTGATTGTCGAGAAAGTTTCTCTCAAGTTACCAACCTCAAAATAATTCAAAATTTGCGCTCTTTTACAGCAAATTTGGACTAGCCTCAACATCAACTTGAAATTAGGAATTATTTTCTTAATAGGAACCTTGAGGAGGAAGTATATATGGAGATCCCACCTAGATGGAAGAATTAGAGAAACATTAATAAGACATATAGACTCAAAAAGCTCTATATGGCCTCAAACAATATTCTTGTATCTGATTTTGTAGATTTTTTAATAATGATAAAAAGTGTGGGTACCAAAAGTGTCAAAATGATCCCACACTCTGTTGACCTGTGTGATAATACAAAAAAAAAAAAGAGAAAATAAATTGCTCGTACTTGTCCTACGCCGAACTTCACACGTCGTCCGCACCCCTCGCATGTCGCTCACACCCTCGCACGTCGACGTGGCTTCTTCCCACGATCTCCTTGAGTGATTAAAAGCCCGAAGAAACCGAGGCCGAGGTTTCCTCCTCTCTGGTCGCTGTTCGTCTTCGCTTGTTCGACGACTTTCCCTTCAAGTCGGATAGGAAGTTACGACAATTTGATCAGAGGCAAAGACGAGAGCTCGCTTGTTGTGAAGTTAACTTGCCTCCTCTCGTGCGCTTCTCCAGCACCGTCGACGACTCGCCCTTCCTATTGGATCGGACGTTGCAACATTTCGATAGGAAGCAACCAAGGGAGCTTGCTGACTGTGAGATTAACTTTCTCCCTTGCGTACGCTTCTCCGGCCTTTTCGTGGATGTTCGACTACGCTCTGTCGGCGAAATTCCCTTCCCGTCGTATTGGAAGATACGACACTTTGATCGGAACCAACGGTGGGAGCTTGTCGCTGTGAGGATAACTTTCCCCCTATCCGGTGCTTCTTCGCCTCCTTTGCTATTGTCCGACTTCGGCTCCTTTGCCGTTGATCGACTTTGCTCCTTTGACGACTTTCCCCTCCTGCCGAACAGGAAGTCAAAAAAATTTTGATCGGGAGTGACAATAGGAGCCCGATAGCTGAGAAGGTAAATTTCTCCCCTTCTTGCGCTTACTCGGCCAAATCCAGTAAAGCTGCAGAACTATAAAAAGAGGGGAAAGAGAGATTTACATTAATAATAGTTAATTTTAATTAAAATTATTTTAATTAATTATAGTTAATTTTAATTAAATTGTTTTAGTTAATTTAAATTAATTATTATTGCGTCCTGGAGTATTCGCGACGATAGAGAAATATAAAGTTTATCGTCTTAGCGTTGTACGAAAATCCGGCACGCAATCAGATAAGTGAGAGGGTGTAGCATTCATAAGAGACACCAGACTTTTTACGTGGAGAACCCCTGAAAGGGGGGAAAAACCACGGGGCCTGGCCCAATTTGAATGAATCCACTAGTATTTGTAGTCTATTACAAATGAGTCCTTCTTAGGGAGAAGGCCATGGATTGATGTCACAAATGTACATCATATAGAGTGTATTACATGGTGGGAGTTACATATACATATTTGTTTGGTCGGAAGGACCGTAGTAGGCGACGGAGGTCGGAAGGACCGTAGTCGGCAAGAGACCGGGGTCAGAAAGACCGTTGTCTGTTGATGGAGGCCGGATGGACCATAGTAGGCGACGGAGGTCGAAAGGACCATAGTCGGCAGTATTCTAGGAGAACTGTGGGCATCAGGTCGTGGCCTTGTGGAGCTCAAGGCCTCAAGTAGTGGTCCGGCGGAAGTCTGGGCCTCATATGATGTTCTGGTAGAGCACACAGCCTTTGATGATGATCTAGCGAAGACAAGGGCCTCTTGAAAAGATGAGGGCCTCTGGTGAAGATATCAGGCCTGAACGTCGGGCCTTGAGCAGAACGTTGGGTCTTCAGCAGAACGTCGGGACTTGAGCAAAATGTCGGACCTTGAGCAGAATGTCGGGCCTTCAGTAGAACGTCGGGCCTGAATGTCGGGTCTTCAGTAGAACGTCGGACCTGAACGTCGGGCCTGAACGTCGGGCCTTGAGGTGGTGGTGCGGCGAAACTCCGACGGTGGTCCGGCGGGGCTTCGACGGTGGTCCGACGAGGCTCCGACGGTGGTTCGGCAGTGGTTCGGCGAGGCTCCTGCGGTAGTCCGGCAAGGTTCCGGTGGTGGTCGAGGAGGAGCTTCTTCCTTCTCATCTTCCTTCTCTTCTCCTCTTCTCTTCTTTTCTTGCTTGGATCCCCCCTCATGAGAAATGATGGCTCTATTTATAGATTTTCTGGAGTGGCATGGCCCGTAAATAGGCATGAGATCAGGGGCGAATAGGGAGTGGTCGAATGGACGACTGATATTGAATCCTACGATCGTGCACCGTTCGTTGGTCATTTGAGGGCCTTAGTGATGTCGGATTTTGGCGATCATGGGCTTGTTGGATTCGTCTCGTCGAGCCGTTCGATTCGAGTATAAGCTCGTTAAAATCGGAGACCGTTTGGTAACTCAAAGTGCGGTTTGAACCTTCCAACAGCACTTCGGGTCCATGATTCGGACCCATTTGGGCTTGGATTGGGTCGAACTTGGTGTCGTTGGGTTCGTATTTCCGAGACGCTCAGTTTGACTATAAGCTCGCTGAAATTGGAGTTCACATGCTCCCGAATTTAATTTCTGAAGTTTCTGGATTGTGTTTTGTCTCGAGATTTGTGCCCGATCAAGATAATTTCATGATGACGTATCAATTATATTTAACTTGAATTAAAAGTTAAATATAATTAATTATTTTAATTAATTATAACAATTTAATTATAATTAATTATAATTAACTTTAAAAAAAATTATCAAAAGAAGCAATATGCTTGCTTCTCCCGCCTCGATCCATGAGCCTCCACCGCC